TTAAGCTGGTAGCTTTGTACATTAAAACTGAACTAAAGCCACCTGGATACTTCTGTTGTGCAAATAATCCAGTGCTGTTCAGAGATTTATTAGATTTTAAACTCAACATGTCTGTATAACATTAAGGAAACTTCTTGATTTACAGAGTCACTTCCAGGTCTGGGCAGAACTCGCTGTAGAAGCTGCAAAGCTTGGAGATATACAGAAATGCCAAATATGAGCATTTTGTATTAATGTAATATAGCATTTTTGCAGAAATTCCCTCTACATGAGCTATATAAGGCATTAAAAATGAATGAGTCCTTTAAAACATAAGAAAGCCGTAGTGCCCTAGACTGCATATAAATTGGTGTCTGTCTTTAAGTAACCTTTTAAGTGAGTTGCTATTCTTGTTGAGTCAGCAGTAGCATAAAGCACAGCCTGTCCTTGGTTTGTATTAAATGCTGGCAAACTAGGACACCATAAAACTACATTTCAAGAAAATAAATAAATGAACCAGGAAACGCTGACAGAATGTTCACATCTACTATTTATAGAATGGAGCAATAATGTCTCTTTGTATGTTGGAAGATTCTGGAAAATAAACTATGTTTTAGTGTCAGAGTAAAATATTAATGTACCTAGACATAAACAATATTAAAGAAAGCAACCATAACACCTCTGCATGATTTGTGTAAATAAGATTGGTCACCTTTATCCTCAGTTAAATGATCCCTCAGTTTGCCCTGTGCATGATAGCTGCCTGTGTTTCAGTGTCTCCTATGGAGGGGCAGGTTAAACATAATCTGGTACATTTCCTAAATTTGTCACTACATATGTTGGCAGAATTTTCCTAATGCTAGGCAAATTATACAGGAATAAACATAATGCAAGTTATTCATTCATATTACCTCATATCTCATGTATATAGCATCATAACTTGATTTAGTGTACAAATCTCAAATTCTGAAATCCATCTTTCTTTTTGTTTTACCATCATAGTGTTTCAACTATAAAAGGAAGAATCCCTGACCTGCACAACATGGCAGTGCATGAATTCTATACAAGGATACATTTTACTTTGTAAGTTGGACCCAGTGCAAGGCAGGCAGAAGGCAGTTGTCCCAAAGGCAACAAACACTAGTTGTGGATTGTATTCTCAGTGGCGTACCTAGAATATGGCACGTGTCAAGGGCTTTACTTGAAGAAGGCACCATTGAGCTATGGCCAGACAGGCAATTTGTTTTAGTCTCTTATTGTCTCGGTAGGAGGGATCAGAGCCAGTAGAGTGAGGTTTGCACCTCAGGCGGGTGTAGACCTCAATAATGCCTCCCTTGCATTTGGGCGCTGTCTAGTGAATCAGAGCGCAGTCGCCAGATATTCCCAGCTTGCACTCTGACTTGCTGATTGTCGAACTGCGAGTAAGCTATTGCTGAAGTTGGCATCCACAGATGGAGCAAAGCTCACGCTCCCCTGCTGGGCCACCAGGGACTCAAGGACCATCCTTTCTTAAAGAAAGCCAAGCAGGAAGGGGTTACACAGAGCACGACTACACACATTACATACAGTCACAACACACATCACATACACCCAGTATACACATACATCACATATCACATACAGCCTGTATACACTCACATCACATACAGTCAGAACAAACATTACATACAGCATGCATTTTTTAGCTTATTTTGTGGTACAGTTATCTAAAAGATGGATGTCAGATGTTTGGATACTGCCCGTTAGCGGCGTAATTTCAGTTCTTGCCAGAGACGCTATTTTCAGTAGATGCCGCTCTTCACACATTATTGTGCTGGTGGTTAAATGCAGCTTTAGTTGCACTAGCACCTGTTTTGTTGAAACAGTAACAAAGAAGAAAGGGGAAGCAGATGGATTTTAGGGCCTTTTCCAGCCCACTACTGCGCTACCCTTATGTGCTTGGGCTTATGATAATTTTAACATTTAGTACAGAGAGTGGCATGGGTTAGGACAGTGGGCTGCTTTGGTTGTAAAAAGGTAGATCCATTTGTTCCTGCTCCCGAGGTCGGTCAGCCCTCTCCTGATAGGATCTGAGGGGCTCATGAGGAATATATGCAAATTGTCCCTTTTAATATGTAGGTGCTGGTATCTTGCGGCTTCCAGATCAGTTTGCTTTCACAAATAGCCTAGTGAAGATTAATAGTGCTTTATTAGCCCCTCCATAGCTCAGAGAGTGTGATTGGGACCATTACTGTGGGTCTGTTTCTTCCTTCTAGAACTGTTAAACCAGTCATACTTGTTCCATCAAGCCAGCGCAATAATTACTATTCCTGGGGCCCAAACATTCATCCCGCCCTCCCTCCCATTAGCCGATAGATGTGGTGGGTTTTATGGTGGTGTGTTCTTTGTTCTGTTCTTGTTTTGTCACAGCTCGCTGTTATTCCTGGCCAGCGCAGATACAAGGCATGGAAAGACCATGGAGACTTGGTGAGTCACAGCCTTCCAAGAACCAATGGTGGTAGGTAGGCTGCCCTGGACTCTTGGATACCGGATAAGAGCTGTCTGTTGGAGAAGCACCCCAACAGCTGGCAGATGGAGTGTGCTGGCATGGTTATGTTGTTGTTTAATAAAACTGTGGTTGTTGCCCTTACCCAACTTATTCATGTCTTGTGTGTTTATTGGGCAACGAGGATTAAACATTTTAGTGGGTCAGCAGTCAGGTGGAGTGAACCTCAAACAGCCAGGATGAAACTATAAGTAATACAGGTGGCAATAAAATATCTAACTGGCGCCTTAGATCTGTTAATATTTACAGCAAATGTAGGCAGTATCTTATAGGAATAGTGAGTATACTGATATACGGTGAATCTATAAATAGCAATTTATTATTGTCAGTTGGGGTGGCTAACCTATTAAACAGATATCTAATTTAAAAAAATAGGGATGTTGTCTTACTTTCAATATCATCTTTTGCTTTACCGTCAAAGTATTTTCGTGATGGCCAGAATTAGTAAGGATTTCTAACGCAAAACTGCTATTACATTTGTAAAGACTGATGCGACCTCTAGTGGCCATTCTGTAGTTAGTTTCTAACAGGGAACTAGCTCAATTTGAATGGTGGTAGTTATCTATAATCATTATTGTATTTTTCAAGCACTATGCACACCCTAATGCAGCGCTAAATTATCCTCTATGTTCCCCATTTTGGCCTCTTTGGACACATTTGTGTCAATTTTAGTTAAGGAGTTATGCTTTGAAGGAAAAAATTATGTCTATTTCATGTACACATAACCACTAGTACTGATAAACTGTGCCTAATTTTTCAAATTAGTAATTTTTAAGTAAAGCTTAGATGGCATTTTTTTGGGTGCACATATTATCGTACCTGCATACTGTATATACCTATGAACAAGAAATGGTATTTGTAGCAATAATAATGTAACACATGTTACCGTATATACTAGAGTATAAGCCGACCCGAATATAAGCCGAGGCCCCTAATTTTACCCCAAAAAACTGGGAAAACTTATTGACTCGAGTATAAGACTAGGGTGGGAAATGCAGCAGCTACTGGTAAATTTCTAAATAAAATTAGATCCTAAAAAAATTATATTAATTGAACATTTATTTGCAGTGTGTGTATGAGTGCAGTGTGTGTGTGTGATGCAGTGTGTGTTTGTGTTGCAGAGCCTTGGTGGGGGGTGGGCATTTTTATAAAAAAATAAATAAAAATTAATATTTATTATTTAAATTTTTTGGTTATATTTTTTTATTATTTATATTTATATATTAATATTTAAAAAAAATTGTATTATTATTATTATTTATATTATTAATATTTATATATTATTAATTTATTTATTTTGTTGTCCCCCCTCCCTGCTTGATACATGGCAGGGAGGGGGGCTCTCCTTCCCTGGTGGTCCAGTGGCATTGGCAGTTCAGTGGGGGGAGGAGGAGGGCTGGCAGAGCTGTTACTTACCTCTCCTGCAGCTCCTGTCAGCTCTCTCCTCCTCCTCCGCGCCGGTCCGTGCAGCTCTTCTCTCAGCTCACATTGTAAGTCTCGCGAGAGCCGCACTATGACCCCGCGGCTCTCGCGAGACTTACACTGGGAGCTGACCGAGGTGCTGCACGGACCGGCGCGGAGGAGGAGAGAGCTGACAGGAGCTGCAGGAGAGGTAAGTAATAGCTCTGCCAGCCCCCAGTCTGTATTATGGCAATGTAAATTGCCATAATACAGACAGTGACTCGAGTATAAGCCGAGTTGGGGTTTTTCAGCACAAAAAATGTGCCGAAAAACTCTGCTTATACTCGAGTATATACGGTACCTAATAGAAATACATGGACTTTATAATCTTGATAAATGCCTATACTTTCACACCACAAATTATGTGGTCTGCACCTCTGCCTGGTGCAGACAGTCAGCATACAATATGGCGTAGCGAGTGCCAGGACCATGAGTTACTATTTTTGTCTGCACACAACGAAAATGGATGGTTAGCCACACCAATTGCCAATACTCACTTCATGACCATGAACTTTTTACTCCTGCTGGGTCACCAGGGAGTTTTAAACCCTTGCTTGACCACAAGGATCACAGGATAAATCTGTGTGAGGGTAGTAAACCGTAACACATACACACAAATGCATTATACACAAGCATTACACACAGACAGCAAATATTATTAAACAAAGCAAGCGAACATCTAGTAAGCATTACACACAGCCAGCATACATTACACAAACAGTACACACAACCAGAAAACCACACACATTTCACAAAGCAGGTACACTAAACAAACATTCACAGCCTGAACCCAAAGTCACAACACACACTCTATGGGGGCACAACACACAGAGCCTCCACACAAAGGCACAACATCCACACTATGGAGGGTGGGAAGGGGATTGGGGGAGGGGGGTAGAATACACTGAGGATTATTCACTAAACTCTAAATTCTTAAAACCATAAGGAAAAACAGAGACAAAAGGTTGTAACCTATAACTGAGTTGAAGAGACCAGACCAGTTTTTTTTTTTTTTCTCAGTTTATGCACTGTGATTTAATTCACAAACATTTAATGTTTCGAATAGCCATTGTCAATGTCCAGGGCTCTAGGCAGGTACTGTGACGAAGTGCCTTTCGCCACTTGTGCCTGGAGGACTGCTTGCCCGCCTCTTGCCCTGTGACTATGGCCCCTGGGATGTATTGCCCTTTAAAGACATGATTTGGGCATAATGGATTTGTGTTGTGCTGCTGCTGGCCCTTTAAGAACCATTTGGGGACATACTGTGGAGTTACTGGGTGGCCACCATTTCCTGTATCAGAAGCACATGGTGAGAACAATGGATGGCGGCCATTTTAACTCAGACACTGTGTGGACTTTTCAACACGGTGCCATCTCGCCAGTATTTGGTGCACAGAGACATCGTGCAGTGGTTTTGGACTATACAGCAGGGGACACATTATAAAGTGATTGTTTTTCATTTAGCCTGTATATGTTCTGCAGAATCTGCATTAAACTGTATCTTCCAAAGTACTGAACGGATCTGGGTGAATTTTGGATATGTGGTTCACCCAGATCCCCCGGTTCCAAGGATATACTTTTTATGGGGTTAGTGCATGTTTTGGGGTCCCTGTGATGTATATTTTAGAAGTTATGAATGCTGTAAAAATTGTACTATTTCTGGCCAGCAGATAATTGAGCTTTGTGTATTGTAAAAACTCAATTATCTAGCCTGGCCCAGAGGAGGAGTTTTGTGTTGCATAAATTGTGAGTTCTGTGTGCCAGTAAATCAGTCTTGTTCCAGCATTAAGCCTTGGCTCATGTTTGGGGGAAGGGATACCTACACTCTGGGGATTGCTATAATCATTTACTCCCCAGAGGAAGCTCTTGCAATAGCTTGATTTGTTCCTGTTCCTGCTCTCTGGGGAAAGAGAGGTTCACCCACTGGAAGCTGGATCCTGGCCTTGGGTCCAGGGTGGGTGGAAACAGCAGAGACCCGGCGCAGTTGCATCGCTGGAAGTGGGGTCTGCAGTGCTGATGGTGTCGGTTGGAGTGCTTGGAGTCCTCAGCGAGCACTAGGAGCATCGATTGGCGGAGGTACTCAGTCGGAGTGCCAGCGTTCCGTCACAGGTACCTTGAGCCAAAATTATTTTGTGTGATGACAAGTACATTATCATTATAGACAAGTAGATTGGGCTAGTGCTCTAGTCCCTTGAATAAGTAAATTTTAAAAAAATATTTCCACATACCGAGATCCTGAAACTGCAGTTCTTGATTTGGCCTGCCAATGCTTAAAACATGCAAATATGTTTATGTAAATTTTTAGCTTTCTGTATAAAATAAATGATATGATATAAAAAAGAGAGAAACTGCTCATACTGAGGCACCATAAGCCAATATTTTAATATTCCAAATTGATTGTATTAAGCTTTATAGAGAAAATTTAGATTTGGAGGGCACAACCCATTAGGATAGGTGTTTTGTCAATAAGCCTCAGATTCTTCCCAGAGGTTTCTTAATTTGGCTAGTCAAGTTTAATTGCAAAGTGACATCTACAGGGCAAACATTTACTAGCAATGCTAAAGGAAAAAAAAAAATTCAAATAACATTCAACCCCTTTAAAGACCGGACTGTTTTAGCCATGTTGTACATTAAGGACCAGGGCTGTTTTAACACTTTTTTGTTGTGTTTGTGTTTAGCTGTAATTTTCCTCTCTCTCATTTACTGTTCCAATACAAATTATACTTTTTTTTTTCAGGACAAGAAGGGCCTTCTTTACACACCATTATTTGTAACATGTCATATAATTTACTATAATAATAATAAAATACGGTGGAAAAATTAAAAAATTTTACTTGGGAAAATCTTTTACTCATCTACAAAAGCTAATGAAAAAACTGATAGATTCAAAATTGTGTCCTAAGTTTAAAAACACTTTTTTTTTTTTTTTTTTTTTTTGTGCAAGTTATTGGGCTATAAGTACAAGTAGGACACTGCAGTTTCAAAATATATATTTTAAAAATGTATCAATAGTGACAATCTGGCAAATTGAAAAAACGGAAAATCAAGCCTTACATTTGACCCTGCAACTGTCAAAAACACTATAAAAACCTGTACATGGGGGGTACTGTTATACTTGGGAGACTTTGATGAACACAAATCTGTTAGAGCGATCACATGGCCTGTGGGGGTCTAATTTGCCGAGGGGGGACTGTCTGGGCTGCCAGACCCGGAGCAACGCCGATCACCAGCGCAGGAACGACAGCGATCGGGTAAGTAATTATGACGGTTCAGGACCATCATCAGTCCTCAAGGGGATGTTTCTGTTGACAGTCCTGAACCGTCATTGGTCGTCAAGGAGTTAAAGGGACGATAGTCATCAGAACAACTACAGCTTATTGTAATTGTTCTGGTGAGTATTGTCAGTCCCTGTAGGCTTTTTGCAGTATACACTGTTTTTTTCAGAGAAAAGGCAGTGTTTACATTACAGCCTAGAGACACATCCAGTGGCCACTCCTGAAATGGCTACTAGAGGTGCTTCCTGTGACAGTGCAGCACGAACATTCAGTGTATCCACTCTCTTCAAGGAGACACTGAACTTTTCTCATAGAGATGCATTTTTCAACCTTTTTGTGATCAGTTGACACCTACTGTTTAGACACAATTCCATGCCTCCACTGTCACCTTAATCTCCAACTCACCACAAGTACCTAACACAGAGAGAGGTGAGGGATGGGCACTATGAAGAAAGCAGAAAATAGAGGACGAAATGCAAAAAATTACATTGATAATGTGTAGGGAACAAGTGGATGGGGACGAAGGGCTGTTTGTTTCATTCAGAAACCAAATGTACAAAATTAAGAAAAGACAAAGATAAAGAAAGAGAAAAGATGGTAAATACACAAATAAAGAGACACATAAGTTAGTACAGACAAAAGAAAACTGTAGAAAAAAATTAAAATAAACAAAACCAACAGCAAAAGCAACAAAAATACTAAAACAGGAAACGTGTATAACATCTCTCCTATAGGTTTTTCAAAATTTTACATAAATTTGTTTATTTTATCAATTTTAACAAGTTGAAAGCCCTTTACTAAGGTCCTTTCAGAATGCCCCTTTTACTTCCTACATACATCTTTCAATGGGTCAAAAATTGCATTTAGGTAAGTACATATGTACTTAACTAAATCCATAGATAACTTTATCATTACAAAATGTATCCTCTTGGATGCACCTTTTGGATCTGTTCTGTTGGTTGGCCTTGCATATATCTCTGTTGGGGTAAGTGGCCACCTAAAACTAATGTATTTTCCAAAACTATTGTACCCGATACAAGTGATACACATGTTATTCCAACTATCAGAACTATCTACCCTGGATTCTAATTTAATTCTTATTCTGCAACAAAATTATATAAATTAACTTTGCCTTGAATGGGTCAGGTCCTCACAAATAAATATGGCTTACTGGGAAGGCAAGCCAAGAAATTAAAAATAAGAAAAAGGGAATTTAAAGCATTTAAATCAGACAAATCAGTGGAATCTTATATAAGATACAAGGAAGCCATTAGTGCCTGTAAAAATGTGATTAAGTGGGCTAAACTAGAACATGAGAAAGTGAAAGACAAAGAGATCAAGACCAACCCCAAAAAAGGTTTTTAAGTACATAAATTCTAGACATTTTTAAAATATGTGTGGGAGATCAGACTGACATTCTGGGGTTGAAAATATTTTTTTCCCCAATACATACATACACAGACACAACTTTGGATGCAGAGTTTGCAGCTCATTATTCCTTGAGATCCCTATTACACTCTCACCCACTTCTCTTCCAAACACACTGCCTCCCATAAGACGCTGGTTTTACTTGCTATGACACTTTCCACCTGTCTCAGCTGATCAGTGTAGTTTCCACATTGTCAAGGTAGTTGAAGAGGTGGCCATTTAATGGGTGGCAGGGAGATACCAAGGTTTTTCAACATCCTCCCAAATGGTTTTACAAAGACTGCACCCTTTTTGCACCAAGACTACTACACTTAGCTATAGCAGTTATGTTGCTTAGGATGATGCTATAATATATTTTGTGATTATCGAGTGATTATAAGGAATGATTAACAAAGGAGCTGCACTCTACATAGGCACATAAACAATATACTATACAGCTGCAAGAAAAAAGTATGTGAACCCTTTGGAATGATATGGATTTCTGCACAAATTGGTCATAAAATGTGATCTGATCATCATCTAAGTCACAACAATAGACAATCACAGTCTGCTTAAACTAATAACACACAAAGAATGAAATGTTGCCATGTTTTTATTGAACACACCATGTAAACATTCACAGTGCAGGTGGAAAAAGTATGTGAACCCCTAGACTAATGACATCTCCAAGAGCTAATTGGAGTGAGATGTCAGCCAACTGGAGTCCAATCAATGAGATGAGATTGGAGGTGTTGGTTACAGCTGCCCTGCCCTATAAAAAACACACACCAGTTCTGGGTTTGCTTTTCACAAGAAGCATTGCCTGATGTGAATGATGCCTCGCACAAAAGAGCTCTCAGAAGACCTACGATTAAGAATTGTTGACTTGCATAAAGCTGGAAAGGGTTATAAAAGTATCTCCAAAAGCCTTGCTGTTCATCAGTCCACGGTAAGACAAATTGTCTATAAATGGAGAAAGTTCAGCACTGCTGCTACTCTCCCTAGGAGTGGCCGTCCTGTAAAGATGACTGCAAGAGCACAGCGCAGACTGCTCAATGAGGTGAAGAAGAATCATAGAGTGTCAGCTAAAGACTTACAAAAGTCACTGGCAAATGCTAACATCCCTGTTAGAGAATCTACAATATGTAAAACACTAAACAAGAATGGATTTCATGGGAGGATACCACAGAGGAAGCCACTGCTGTCCAAACAAAACATTGCTGCACGTTTACAGTTTGCACAAGAGCACCTGGATGTTCCACAGCAGTACTGACAAAATATTCTGTGGACAGATGAAACATAGAAACATAGAATGTGACGGCAAATAAGAACCATTCGGCCCATCTAGTCTGCCCATTTTTCTAAATACTTTCATTAGTCCCTAGCCTTATCTTATAGTTAGGATAGCCTTATGCCTATCCCACGCATGCTTAAAATCCTTTACTGTGTTAACCTCTACCACTTCAGCTGGAAGGTTATTCCATGCATCCACTACCCTCTCAGTAAAGTAATACTTCCTGATATTATTTTTAAACCTTTGTCCCTCTAATTTAAGACTATGTCCTCTTGTTGTGGTAGTTTTTCTTCTTTTAAATATAGTCTCCTTCTTTACTGTGTTGATTCCCTTTATATATTTAAATGTTTCTATCATATCCCCCCTGTCTCGTCTTTCCTCCAAGCTATACATGTTAAGATCCTTTAACCTTTCCTGGTAAGTTTTATCCCGCAATCCATGAACCAGTTTAGTAGCCCTTCTCTGAACCCTCTCTAAGGTATCAATATCCTTCTGAAGATACGGTCTCCAGTACTGTGTACAATACTCCAAGTGAGGTCTCACCAGTGTTCTGTACAATGGCATGAGCACTTCCCTCTTTCTACTGCTAATACCTCTCCCTATACAACCAAGCATTCTGCTAGCATTTCCTGCTGCTCTATTACATTGTCTGCCTACCTTTAAGTCATCAACCAAGGTTGAGTTGTTTGGAAGAAACATACAACACCATGTGTGGCGAAAAAAAGGCACAGCACACCAACATCAAAACCTCATCCCAACTGTGAAGTATGGTGGTGGGGGCATCATGGTTTGGGGCTGCTTTGCTGCGTCAGGACCTGGACGGATTGCTATCATCGAAGGAAAAATGAATTCCCAAGTTTATTAAGACATTTTGCAGGAGAACTTAAAGCCATCTGTCTACCAGCCGAAGCTCAACAGAAGATGGGTGTTGCAACAGGACAATGACCCAAAGCATAGAAGTAAATCAACAACAGAATGGCTTAAACAGAAGAAAATACGCCTTCTGAAGTGGCCCAGTCAGAGTCCTGACCTCAACCCGATTGAGATGCTGTGGCATGACCTCAAGAAAGCGATTCACACCAGACATCCTAAGAATATTGCTGAACTGAAACAGTTCTGTAAAGAGGAATGGTCAAGAATTACTCCTGACCGTTGTGCACGTCTGATCTGCAACTACAGGAAACGTTTGGTTGAAGTTATTGCTGCCAAAGGAGGTTCAACCAGTTATTAAATCCAAGGGTTCACATACTTTTTCCACCTGCACTGTGAATGTTTACATGATGTGTTCAATAAAAACATGGCAACATTTCATTCTTTGTGCGTTATTAGTTTAAGCAGACTGTGATTGTCTATTGTTGTGACTTAGATGATGATCAGATCACAATTTATGACCAATTTGTGCAGAAATCCATATCATTCCAAAGTGTTCACATACCTTTTCTTGCAACTGTATACACACTAGTGATGTTTATTAAGCATGCCTTTCTTTTAATTTTCAGACTATTTTTATAGATAGTATGTATAAAAATGATGTAGCTGAAGCCATACGTCTTTCATTTATAAAGTATAACAAGGTAATTAATTCATTCTTAGGACATAGCGTTGGTTATGGAGCATTCTCTTTTTTTCTGTAACAATCTGTTACTATAGGTTCTCTTAAACAACAACCATAATATCTTCAAGTGGTTTCCTTTTCAAGTCCGGTACTGTTGCATCTTTACTTGGATAACCTACAGGAAGCAACATGAGCAATTTTTCATTGACAGGACGTTCAAGTAGTACTCTGAGACGAGGGCCGCAGTTAAGTGGAGTTGTGGTTACAGTCACCAATCCCACATTCTAAAAAAAAAATTGAGAAATATATTATGAAAAATATTCTTGGAAAGTCAGATCAGCAGAAGAATAAAAAACACCCAGTGCAAGTGAGGAGAGCAACAGTTGCAGCAGCAAGCATTACACGTGTAAGTATTATCTTGCTATATGGGGGCGGGAGGGTGGACATGAAATTGGGGCATAAAGAACATTTAAGGGGGAGGACACTGCAGCACAAATGTAAATATAAAGGTGGAACATAAACAAAAGGGAGATGGACAAGGAAATGGGGGTTATAGTGGGTTAAGTAAGGGATGGGGATATAAAACTGTTAGAATAATGGGTAAGGGGTGAGCACATTAAGCTTCTTCACACACATTCACACTCCTACAGTTATCCTGCACAATCAGTCCAATCTACACTCTGTCAGCCCCTCCCTACACACAGTCATGCGCAACTCACAGCATTGTCAAAATATACTACACAGTTCTCAAGACCACACATGCACACAATAAACCACAAACAACTCCCACATAGAAAAAATACACTTCAAGACACACATATTCACATGCTCACAGACACACACACACACAAAAATATATATTCTAACCACACTCATGGATACGCATACACAAAAATTTATTTTTCGAGGTCTACCAAGCAAAAGTTGCCTTTTAGGTGGTGTGCCACCTTAAAGGCAAAGAAGCACAAGTGCATCATCATGTTACAACATATGTAAATGGTTCCAACTTATATTATATAGACTGTTGCTAGGGTGTGTTTAAATAGGATTATACGTATTTTAATTCTTTGTTTTCCATATAATCTGGCAGTCACACAATGCAATTAAATACACTATACATAAAGGGTAAGTAAATATAAGCATACCACTTATATACGTAAACTAATTTACATTTACTGTGTGTGGTATATAACGGGAAAAACCAATGAGTGTTGAAGCTGCCGTTGCAAAATTGTTTATTTTTATACAACTTGCTCAACTATCACATTTGTTAATACACATACACACAGATGTGCATACACACACATACAAGAACATTTATTGACAGATATATATTTCAGACATGCACACATAGGGACTGATACACACAACCAAACAATCTGTCTGTATGTGTCTCTATGCATCAGTATGTTTGCATGTGTATGTGTCTGTATGTGTTAGTGAGTATGTCTGTGTATCCAAATAGGCAAAATATTTGCAATATGCCCCATGTATTCAATATACATGGGACATCATTTTATATATATATGAGTATGAGTGCATGTGAGATGAGGATTATAGATCATGCGTGGAAAAATGTCAGTTACAAATTCAGAAATATTATTTATTTACAACACTGTTTTCTTATCTGTAACTTCAGAATTTTGTATATTTTTTTTTTTTTTTTAAAGTTTTTCTGTTCAACCAATATTAAAATGTTTGTTTTTATCAAATAATGTGTCATTTATAAACGAAAAATACATTGAAACATCACCCAAATTTTTGGGGTTCTGGGGAAGTTTTTTGGTAAACCACTTGGTGGTGAATGTGTTAATGACTAGTTGTATGGTTCTGACGCTCTATTACCTCTCACTGTACCACAAAAGAAAGTAAACATTTATATCTGAGGGGTTTCGATATTTTAAAAACTATCGCTATATTTTTCTGAGATACTGTGCATTCATTTTCCATTTAATTAGGCATATTACTCCAACACTCCCTATAAACAGTAAAAACTGAATTTTATGTCGATGTTGGTTCTAACCAGCTCTGAAGATCTAACATCAAAGAAGCAACTAGAAACAACTTAAAGGAACACTATAGTCACCTAAATTACTTTAGCTAAATAAAGCAGTTTTAGTGTATAGATCATTCCCCTGCAATTTCGCTCAATTCACTGTCATTTAGGAGTTAAATCACTTTGTTTCTGTTTATGCAGCCCTAGCCACACCTCCCCGGCTATGAGTGACAGAGCCTGCATGGAAAAAAAACTGGTTTCACTTTCAAACAGATATAATTTACCTTAAATAATTGTAGATTATGCTAACGTAGTGTACCTATAATCTTAATTTTAATAATGACAGGAGGCGAATATTTTGCATAACTTTCTTTACTTTATGCCTCCAGTAGCACAAGTCAATCAATAAACTTTAAACCAATCAGTAACAGGCATCACATCCATATATAAAGCCCTGACAGACACATGACTTCCTCTTTCTTTGATGCGAAAAACAGTCTATTATAACGTCAGGGAATTCAAATAACAGTCCTGAGTAACGTGTAGCACATAACTTGAAACAAAACTTGAAACCTTCCCGCTTTATCTTGTCGAATCCATCTATGATGATTGCACGGAAAAGAACAGAAATACGTGAAAGGTGATGGAAACCAACTGTTGTCCACATTAAATCCAGTACTATATGTATCTATATTTATATTAAGTTAATATACTGAAACATTAAACAAACCATAGTATACTTAATAATCAACACGGATCTAACACATGTCAACCAAATAAGCATCCCATAAATATACTGAATTACCAAAACCTTATAATTTACACTGAGAAAATGACAAACCAGAATATAAAATTTTTCCAGAGTATAGGGAGGGAAACAGGGAGGGAAAATATTCGCCTCCTGTCATTATTAAAATTAAGATTATAGGTACACTACGTTAGCATAATCTACAATTTTATCACATGACAGGAGGCTTCATATTTTGCATTTTTAAAGCTGTGGTATGAGCGAGAAGGATGCGTGTGTGGTTGACGAAAATAAATATACGGAAATAGTCTATCTGTGTCCAATTCATTACTGAAAATATAGAGGCCCCCTCGTGAAGGCCTGAGAAGCAGCCGCGCCTCTTACCGAATGAGTACCCAAACACGTCTCCACCCTCGCTAGCGATAACAACCAATGAACCCATCTAGACAGAGTGTTCATGGTAACTGGCTTGTACGGTTGGTATAAGACCAGCAGATGTCCTGAATGTGACATTCTAAGTGTTGTCGTGATCTCCATGTAACAAAGTACCGCTTTAACTGCACAAAGAACGGAGGGATAGGACCGTGATATCTGACTAGCTCCAAAAGAACCAAATCAAAGTCCCACACCAGTGATACTTTGACGCATGGTTCTGGACGGTTTGATACCCCGCAGAAAATGGCATATCAAAGGCTCTTGATTGACCGGAGTGTCGTGAATCGTGCTATACTGGCATATTTCATTGGCATGTGAAATAAAAGTTTTATATGTAACTCTGCATGAATATGTAGGACTGATCCCTGCTGTGTGCATCTGCTGACAGTTTGCTCTATTCTGTTCTATACAATTGACATGTTGAATAACAGTTTTATTGTACATCTGGAGGATTATGAATGGACTGTCCCCTGCTGTGGGCATATAGTGGATGCATTACTCTATCTACTGGCAGGGAAATTATGCGTCGTCGAAATTGCGGAACGTAGCCCGTTAATGGAACGTTCCGATCGGCCTGTAGTGAAAAGGTATGATAAAGATCCAGCATCGTGGAGATAGGGGTAATAAAGGGATCGCAGTCCCTTCCCATACACCAGCGAACTCCAAGTGTTCCATGCGGATAAGTTATTTCGGTGAATACCTGGTGTCCATGAGTCCCATAGTAGGTCTCTAGTTAGTTGCGATAGTCCCTTGACATACCAGTCTCCCCTGAAAGACACCAATCTACCAACTCCAGATGCTCCTGCATTATCAATGGATGATGTTCTCCTTTTGGAACCGCCCGAATGGCAAGTTAAAATGGAAGGAGCAGAGGATGATCCTGATTAAGGACAACCCTTCTGGGTGTCACGCTTGACTCCTTTACCGCAGTAATGAGTACTATCGAAGTCTTTGCTATTCTGATCCCAATTTCATAGGTGTGTCTGGATCTCAGGCAGCGAGCTTTCAGCCACTGTCTGGCCCGGTAGTGAAGCAGTCCTGGGAAATAGTCAAAGGGTTATCGTGCCTTTCCGCCGTACCCGTCGAATTTCCTTACGAATCGTCGCTATCAATGATGTGGGAAGGTGTAATCCGCTCAAGGTGGAATCTATTCTGAAGTAGAGGAACAGAATCACTCGGAACTGGGATCGAACCGACTCATCTCTGTTCACTATGAATCCCAACAATTCCCAAAACTGTAAAAATAAATCTCGTCATGAATTGGATTTGCAAGAGGTAAGTCGTCTAGGTATGC